GAGAGAGTTGGGCTTGTTCAGCCTGGAGAAGAGAAGGCTGTGGGGAGACCTGATTGCGGCCTTTCAGTGCTTAAAGGGGGCCTGTAGGAAAGATGGGGAAAATCTTTTTAGTAGGGCCAGCTGTGTCAGGACAAGGGGTAATGGTTTTAAACTAAAACAGGATAGATTTAGACTGGACATAAGGAAGAAATTCCTTATAATGAGGGTGGTGAAACAGGAGAACGGGTTGCCCAGAGAGGTGGTGGAGGCCCCATCCCTGGAAACATTCAAGGCCAGGTTGGACGGGGCTCTGAGCAACCTGATCGAGTTAGCGGTGTCCCTGCTCACTGCAGGGGGGTTGGACTGAATGACCTCTAGGGGTCCCTTCCAACCCAAAACATTTTATGATTTTCCACCAATTCTCAGCAGTCGTTCCATGAATTCTCAACGGTAAAAACCCACCACTATTCTGCACAAGTCAGTGTCAGGAGTAGAAAAGACTGCATGCAGCAGAAAAGCAAGAGAACAGAATTAGTGTTTCTCTACTAACCTGTTCAAGTAAGTTTTAAGACAGAACAGCAGCTGCATGGAACAAAATCCTCCACTCAACAGACAAGAGCCTGTCCGACCATGTATCACAACTGACTTGGGATTTCACATACGTATGCCTTTCACAAGCAGTCTCAAGGCATATCGTATTGAATTGTGAGGCTAGGACTACGAAAAACAGACTGATGAGAACACTGCTATATCTACTGATACTGTCACAATATAGATGTTTTTGACCCAGAGTTACCATATCAGAGAAATTATTCCCATCGTATCTATATGTGCAATTTGCTCACTGAATGTCTTTCAACTGTGTTTCAAACTCAGAATTCATTAGGTTGAGAGAGGTATAATCAGGCTGTATTTGAAAACAATGTGTGCATGATAACAAGAGCCTTTTGTCCATTTTGCACATTTTTTTTAAATCACAGAACTGTAGCAATACACAGGGATACCACTGCCTACCAAGCTCACCAATGTTGTCCCACTGTTTCCAGGACCTCTCCAAATAGCTGTTTGCCTCCCTGTGCTGTCTCTATGGTTTTACTTAGAGTTTAAGTCTGGAAGGGGCAGTGAAAATTACTTTGCATCGTAACAGTTGCATACATTCTACATGCTACGTGTTGTAGCTACAAAACAGAAAAGGAAATAGAGAGAGAAGAGATGTCACACTAATTACATTAATATATGAAAACAAATTTTGTTCTGGTAACAGGAAATGCAGTGAAGGTAACATTGGGGGACAAAAGATTAATTCTATTAATAATTCCTCTTTAAATTAATTTATATTCGAAGAATCAAAATATTCACACACATTTATTCCTAAACCTTTCCTTATTACCAGGCTGTTGAATCATTATTTAGTATTGTTTTCTTACAGGTCTTACAGATTCTCAGCTAGGATGATTCCTCAGAACCCAGTTATTCCACTAGAGCGAGGAGAATTTATAATTAGACAAATGAGCCTGTCTGACGTTTCTTATATAAACCGTAAGATGCTTCACATTTTTTAAATTTGATATACACAAAAATACAGTCATTAATTATTTTAAACAAATAATATCCATCCACCACATACTAGTTATTTTTTCTGTTCTACCCCTACAGGATATATGCCTGGGTGTATTTTGTATTAAGTGTACCATACAATAATTTAAGGCTCTCCTACATTTTGCAATGCCTAGACAGAGAACTGAACCCACATAATTTTCCACTGAAGTCAGTTGGAAAAAAACAGTAGCCCACTCTGATGCTACACATCCAGAACCAAAGCCAAACTTATTAAAGAACTCTGGAAATCATTGTCGGCCCTCTCATAGCCTCTTAGTAAAAAAAACCAAACCTTACAAGCAATAATTCAGTATTGCGCTGCATTAAATACTGTGGCTGAAAAACTTCTTAATATTAAAAGAAAAATTACTTAGTCATGTTTCTTGCCAGAAAATCCTTTCTGCAGATCTCTCCCATTCCTGGAAAATGGTTGATTCTCTGAGGAAGGAGAAAAAAAGTTAGTTAGTTAGTAATTTTCAGTTTTCCTGGCATACCTAATACAATCATTTCAAATGTTCAACTGCATGCTCAGGCAAACATAGTTAGTGTTACATATAAATTATATAAGATAATATCTTACACTATACTATGCATCCTTAGCAATACTAAAGATACTGTAAGTCGTATTCTCTTCCACTGACATGAGTATGCCCATTGATTTCATTACAGACATGAAACTAGACTACCATACTCCTATTCACAAAGCTATCTAGGAACAAAGAATGCTATCACAAAGTAATGGTAAAAAAATGAATTATTTATTCACAGAAACTGTGGAGAGCGCTCTGCTTGTTAACTTACTGCTTAAAAGCTTATGAGCAACTTATAAATGATGTTTTGCATCTTCTTTCAAACTCTGATCATTGACAACACCCAACTGGCAGACAAAAGCATGAAAGAACAGCCCAAAATACTTAAACACCAGATTCCAAGCAGCATGAACAAATAACTCTGGAAAAGAGAATAGGATTTTAAAATATGTAGTGGTATAGCCTTATTGCAGTCTGGTTGGTGGCGTTTTGTGGAGGTTTTTTCTCTCCATACAAATATAACTGACCAAAAGTGGCACATTACTGAACGCTTCAGAGTGAAGCGGTTTACTGGAACGTGTCAGAAATCCCAACTACCACTCTACCTGGTAGTTCCGAAGTTCAGCAATCTTTTCCTGTTGCACAGCAGAATCACTCCATATGAGATTAGCTGTTTCATCTTCATCACGTGTTTTCACAAATCCCATTTCTTGTATTACTACACGTACTACGGAGAAATCACATACTTAAGGAATATTCTGAATCTCTAAAATAGATTCATTTTCAAAATTTAAAAAATCAATTAAGATTTTAAACACTTCCAATACTCAACCCTTTTTCCAAGAACAATGTTAGCAGTCAAACTATTATTTATCTTGCGTTATGTCCATCAGTCTGTTGTCAGCCTGTCATTACAACATTACAGCACCTTGTACCGAGGCTGGAATCAGAGCACAACCACTGACGGGAATTGTAAAGAGCTTCAGGGCATTCCAAAATCATCTAGCAAAAGTCCACTTGCACAGCTTTTAGACTGGATGTTGGCTATCACATATGTTAATTTTTAAAGTGATGACTCTAAGTGTCACTGCAGACAGGGGACAAGAATGCCTCCTTAGTCAAGGTGCAGTAGTTATAAAAGCAAATACACATATTATTTTATTATTAAAAAAAAAAAAGACTGATTATGTGCCAGGCATAACTCAGGTTCTAGGAGAAAAGACTTTGCTGAAGTAGTCCCAAGCATCAAAATACAAAACATTAGTAGATTTTATTCAGAAACCTCTGTTATTATACAGAGATTATTACTGCATTATTATTTATTATATTATTAGAGTATTTAATATTAAATTTGCAGTATTCATCTTTCAAGGCTTTAAGTAAACTTCCAAACACATACATAATTCATAATTAGAGGTTTTTTCCACAGCCTCCTTGATTACTTAAGTTTTTGCATTTCAAGGCCCTTCCCTCAGTAACAAATGGGGAGCAATAGATGCAGTGTCCAATGTTACCAAAAAAAAAAAAAAAACCCAAAACCAAAAAACCCCAAAGGTTTCTTATAAAACAAATCCTTTGGAAATGTCTCACTGTCAGCTTGATGCAAAGTCCATTAATTCACCCCATTAGTTACTAATTAACTCACATCAATGACTATTAGGATGAAAACAAAATACATAGCTTCCTACCGATTTCATATTTTGTGCCAGCGATATTTGCAGTGATGACTCCATTCTTCTTCTTTCTGACTTTTCTTTTAATTGTGCTTTGATAGGGTAGTTCTGAACTCAAAGTCAGAGGAGCAGTTCCATGATTATCTTTGAAAAATAACGTTGTAACTATCAACATCTTTAATCTCAAATAATGTATGCAAATGAACTAAAATACAAACATTTACTTTGTTGCAAATTAATGGTACATGCATACTGAATAATTAATAGGCTATATGAAAAATCCAAGACTAGCATACCTCCCTCATTAGGCAAGGATGGCATTATATCCTAAGACAGGGCAGAAGCAGAGCCCAAATTCTGTTCCAAGTTCTCAGAAAATGATGGAGCTGTCAAAGCCAAATTATTCAAAACTCCAGTCATACCATTTCAGTCTCTGGTTGTAGCAAATATTAGTTCTGGAATGGAGAGATATCTGTGTTAAAAAAATATAAGAGAAACTTTGTTATAGAGAAATCCTGAAAAAACATAAACAGCAGAAAACTAAATATGGAAATGCTTTTAACAAGTCAAAAGTAATGCTTATTTTAAAAGATTGATCAAGTTATTGTAAATACAAACCTTTGTTCATTACAAATCAATTGGTTTGTTTCTGGGAAAAATAATTTTGCAGAATTAATTTTCAAAATGAGATTTTCTCATTTTCATTTGTGTATGGGAGATTTGGGGCATAAAAATAGGTAACACTGAATTCAATCAATACCGCAAACTTTTATCTCCACAAAGCTCTCTGAATTTATAGCAATTTTAAACCATATTTTAATTAAAAATTTAAAATCAGATACACTGTATTATCTGTTTTCAGGTACTAAGTGGGAAATAACTGAAATCACCTTAATAATCTTTTTCTGCTTTTTCGTTTTTTAAAGCAATTGTCCAATAACGACTTGGTAACACCACATGGCTGCAGTTTCATGACCACTTCATAATTTCAAAGACACTTTGGCTTGGCAAGTACCTAAATTGTCAGTTTCTAAAATGAGTAATTATTTGCATAAGATACTATTTTTCATGTCCACAGTGATGCAAAATTTCCATTTTTTTCTCTATGAATACCCTAACACATGTGAAAATCCCACATATTAAAAAGTTTTTTAGGTCCGACTTAAGCACATGAGAGCAATGGGCTAAAATATTAGGAAAAACAGGAATAAAATGCTTCTAAACACAATGCTACAAGACTTCAGGGGTGCAGCACTGTTATAACAAAGTCTGGAAGGAAACAGATGCTGTCTTTGGCAGGCTGCCTCAAACAAAACTACAAGTTTTCGAAACATACAATATAAGTTACTGATTTTTTAAATGCTGACTTTTTTTCTGCAATTGTACATGTGGCTAAAGTTCCTTACACTAGCTTTAGATTAACTTATATTGCCACTAGTGGTGACTGCAAAACTTACTTTAAGTAGCAGAAAATTACAGTAAAGTCAAATTCAGCCATGACTTACAATGTGAATATATTTGGTCGTAAGATTGGACAAGCTACGCATTAGGAAAATTACCAGAACATTATTTATAAATCCTCATCTTTTATTTGTGTGTGTGTGCGTGTGTACACGCACATCAGAGAGAGAAAGCAAGAGATACGATTCTGGGCAAGTCACCCTCTTGGTAAGAAAATATAAAAGCAGATACCTTGAGACGCAAAATCTTATTTCCTTCCAAGACAGAAATGTACCCTTACCAGTCCATTAACACAAAAGAATAAAAAGAACACATTATGGGTCTTTTTTGACTGTTGCAAACGTACTAGGGGACAAATTCTGCTTTGCAGCAAATCTCCCTCATGTCCATTTAGTGGAGTGCCACAAACTAACACTAAATGACCCTGTGCATTTATCCAGAAAGTAAGAACAGGAGATGTTCTATACACATGTTCCATATAATGTTCAACAGCATAGTAGTAACTCCCAGCCACACCTACTTACAACATACTTTGCTGAACCAGAACTCGCTAAGAAAATTCCCCAAATTGAACTAAAACTGGCAGGTCATTTTGAAGGTTTAATGGTTTGGATGCCAGCATCTTGAGAAGGTGGCCTGAAAGTCCTCCTGCCCGCCAGCCTACTAAAATTAGACACAGAGATGGGAAAGCAAAGCATTCCATCCTCCTTAAAACCACTGTGAAGGAAAAGCAGTGCCGGCACAATGACTCACTGAATATTGCATGTTATCTGCTTCTCAAGCTAAGAATACCACCAGAGTGCAAGACATGTTTAGTTCCTGGGAATAAAACCAAAGTTCGTCTGTTAGCCAATTAAGGACTTCTATGCACATACACAAATGCCTAGCAGTTGTTCCTTCGCTGTACTGGCTAAAAACTTTTAACAAATTTGGAAGAATGTCAAGAAGACTAACATTTCCCTGTGAGAAACACCAACCCTTACTCATACAGCGTGATTTACAAGCTAGGATACGGTCATAAAAACCAAGCAGCTCATAGAGCTTTCATTCAGCTTATAATCACAGAAAAATACCTGCCCAAAGTTATTGTAACACATTGTATTCTGAAGGGGGACCATAAAAAGTTCCAAACTGCACTATGTTGATGAATCACTTTTTTTCTTTATATAGAAACTATTCTACTCTTTGAGAAGAATACTCTTCCAGGTTTAAATAGAAAGCACCAATGCTCAAGGTCCACGACTTTCGACCAGTCAACTTTTTAGCACAGGTACATGAGTTGACGGTAAAGATTTATGGTCAACTTTAGAGTATTCTATGGAGAATTAGTAGTTTGGCCATATGGAAAAGAAAGTAATTGGACTGACTAACTCTCATAAAAATCTCTGCAAACTGATCATTGAAGTAACTCTTTTCTTGACAGGATTATGGATGACACAATTTTCATCATCAAGCTGAAGCATGCACTCCTCTAATGATGTCAGATCTTGTTACAAAGATACATGCAGTCTATTTGTCAAATCCTGATCTAAACTGAATTCTTCAAAGATAAAAGGGATCATTACTGTACTCTGTATTCAAACTTACTCTAGGATTTTGACTTTTCACAAGCACTGGCCTATCCCAATGAAGTTAAACTGCAGTCTGCCTTAAGCTTGTATATAATAATTCAAAACTGCTTTGCAATTATTTCACTTCTCTTATGTCACCCATCTCCAAACGATTTCACCATATACCAAAACACCAGCAGTTCTAAACTAGATGTAGTTTTCCAAAATTTTTTACATAGGATGCAGTCCTTTCCTTTGCTCCTACTGGAACCATCTCCTTTCCAAAGGGCAAATACAGGTCCGATGAAATTGGACAGTCTCAGCTTTTCTTGCCACCATGTCAAGTGACAGATGAGAGGTACGGCACCTGATCTGGGGGAATACACTACCCAGAGCACTAGCTGCGAGTTGTAGCTAAGCCATGGGAGCAGTAGACTTGCTCCTGCTTAGACCTCCATGCTCTGTATGTCCCCAGTGCAGTAGTACGAGAAGTTGCAATTCTGCAGCAAGAAAACCTAAGACCAGGCTGCTGAGAAAGCTGCAATCCTCCCAAGTAAACTGCAACTGTTCTGCAGGCTACGCTTTAGATGAGCAGTTCTCCAAGTGGGGGAATGGGTCACTTGGGAGAGACAGGAATACACCTCTGAGAGCAATAAATGCAAGGCTGTTGCTGAGGGGGGGAGCTGGAAGGAGAGGGGGCACACACTGACAGAGCACTGAGATGCAATACTGCAATGCCACAGGCCCTGGCAGCCACAAGCTCCCGCACGTCTTTCCTCTTTTTGACTTCTATACAGCAGAAATCGCCCCAGGGTTACTTCATTCTCGGACCCAGGTCCTCCCCAGGCAGCTTTTTCTAGCTCCGGTCTCTTGATTTGTTCCTATTGCCCAGCCCCACTCCCAGTCAGAGCACGGTTGTCTCAGGCGTGCCGAAGGAGAAGGACCGCCTAAAAAAGCCTACTGCAGGGCCCGCCGGATCACACAGCAGTAACAGCAGCAGCACTGCCAGGTTACGAATGCATCAAATTCCAAGTCAGTTCTTATGACTGTGACAAGTTTTTACTTACAAAATAAGCATAACCTATAACCTGTGTTCAGCTACAACAATGTAGAGCCATAGCTCTCTGGTAACCTACCTGAAAGACCTGTTTCTAAGAGATTGCTTTTAATAACATGGAAGAAATGTATTCTATTTCCAAACTGGGACCGACGGAGCTTGCTTAACCTTGGCAAGTCAGCTATCGGGAATCTCTGTATTCACACTCAGACAGAAAAGGATGACAGTTCCTGCTCTATATACCATTTCCCTCCTGACATCGTGATACACACAAATTGGCAAAGGTTTGTTGCTCACCCATACTGATTCAAGGGTGGCAGAACAAAAATGGTTAACCCATACAGGGAGAAAGGCTTGTGAAGAAGAAATTAATGCATCTTCATCAGGTTAGCACAATCTTATACGAAAAAGCACTTTGAATAAAAGTGTTCTAGAGGGGAAAAAAAAGGAAAAAAAAAGAACAGATGTTATCTTTACTGTTGCCTGGAAAAACTGTGAGAGAGCCAGCAAGAGAGATATGCTGCATACACTCCTGTCCTAGAAAAAGACAGAAGAAAAAGGAAGGGGAGAAAAAAAAAAAAGAGCTTTTTTTTCCCTCCAGGGACAGCAGAGGTAGGGTACTCTTGCGGGAGACAGACGTGTTGCACACAGACAGGGCCCAAAGCAGATGCTTGAGTCCGCCAAAGGGAACAGTTTGAGCAAGGTACGAGGGTGCCTCAGTACAGAGCAGGGGACAGTGCAAAGAAGTGGTTTCATAGTTAATGGAATGATCCATGTTTCCTTGAGAATAAGTTGTAATATGTTGTAAAAAAGAAAAAAATTAAGAGTATTTTTTTCTGTTACACAAATTAAGTGTGTCATAAGAAGTTAGTAAATTGCCTGAAAAATATTCTTCTGGCCTAGATTATATAGAAATATTTTGGAACAAATCCCTCTCCTATTTGCTAAGTTATTTGCTCCATACTGCTCACAAGTGACCTCTGCCTTTCACGATCCTTCACTTCACAACCTGATGCAGTGTGGAGCTGAAAAGTTTATTTTTAATCTCTAAATAGGAATTGCATGCCATCAGACCCTTTTTTTTCCCCAAAGAGTAAGCATCCCAGAAAAACGTTGAATGAATCAGATCAAAGTAGAGAAGGGGAAGTCAAATTCAAACTTAAAATAAAGTGGTGCAACTTGAGAATCTGTTCCAAAGAACTCTCAAGTCAATGAGATTCTTCAAGCTAACTTGGATCATACCAGTAGCTATGAAACCACTACTGCGTACCCTAACAAAACAAGACTAGATCACATATGCACATTTAAAATATAT